GGGCACGTTCAAATGAAAACCGTGCATTTCTAAGAAACTGTATAAACTAATTTCGACCAATAGAAAATTTTCATTTTTTTTTCTAATTAAATTTAATCAATAAGGGTATTTCGGTCATTTACAATATTTTCAATTAAATATGAAAATTATTAATAAATCTTAATTAAGGAAACGTAATAAAGGAAATTTTATAAATGTTAACATTTAAATATTTAATTATATTATAATTCTAAAATTTTGAACTAAATATATTGTGATGCGATTGAATCTGCTGGTGAATCTTGAAGATTGTAAGACATGATATAATGAATTCATCAAATCATGATTTAAAAAAACTAATACAAATGAAACAGGTTTCATGAAAGTGAAACTGGTTCATGTCATGATTGAACAATGAGTAGTAAAACATTTTCATGGTGAACCCGTTTCATTGATGGTGTAGTTGATCCATTTAGTAGGTGAAGGGGAAAATGAAACAGGTGCATAATGTATTTGGTTCGTCATGAAATAATGGCATGATGAAACGGATACATGATGAATCTGTTACAGAATCTTGAAGATTGTAATCTGCTCCAGAATCTTGAAGATTGTAATCTGCTCCAGAATCTTGATGATTGTAATCTGCTCCAGAATCTTGATGATTGTAATCTGCTCCAGAATCTTGAAGATTGTAAGGCTTAAAGAAATAAATTCATCAAATCATGGGTGAAATAAAAAAAATTAATGTACATGAAATATGTTTCATGAAGGTGAAACTGGTTCATGGCGTAATTGAACCAAGAGTAGTGAAACGGGTGCATAATGTATTTGGTTCGTCATGAAATAATTGCATGATGAAACGGGTACATGATGAATCTGCTCCATAATCTTGAAGATTGTAATCTGCTACAGAATCTTTAAGATTGTAAGGATTAAATGAATGAATTCATCAAATCGAGAGCGAAATAAACTAATCTATTTACATGAAACAAGTTTCATGAAGGTGAAACTAGTTCATAGCGTAATTGAACAATGAGTAGTGAACTGGTTTGATGGTGAACCCCGTTTCAGTGATGGTGTAGTTGATCCATGTAGTAGGTGAAATGCAAAATGAAATGGGTGCATAATGTATGCGGCTTGTCATGAAATAATTACATGCTGAAATGGATTCATGATGAAACCCGTGCGTATTGAAATAATTTCATAATGAATAGGGTGCATATTTACATGGGTGTTTGAAGGACATTGAAACAATTTCAGGATAAGGAATAAAAAGGTTGTTGCATTAGCGAAATTATTTCTTAACAAATAGAAATTTTTAATTTCCTAAAAAAAGAATAATGTCCTTCAATAGGATGTTACAGAATATGTATTTTTGTTTACTATTTTGCCCTTATTGCTGATATAAAAATAAAATTTTAATATATATATTTTTTAATTTTCTAAAATAAAGCAAACTAATCTTGACCATTGATCAAGAAAATGGATTGATGAGATTGGTTTACATGGTTTACACAAATGGAGGCGGTTTTCATTTGAACGCTCCTCTCTCTCTCTCTCTCTCTCTATATATATATATATATATATATAAAAGATTAAACAATGAAATCGACGGATGAGAGTAGTTTTTACGGTTCTTACAAATTGGAGTGGTTTCATTTGATCGCTCATATATATGTATATATAGTTGTGTTCATATGGTTCTTACATTAACAAAAATAAATTAACAAAAATCATATAATTTTTTTGATTTTGTAACTCTCAATTAATGATATGGGAGTTACATAATTTTTTTTACCTAAATACCCTTTTCAACTTTGTTCGCTTATCGTTATGAAATTTTAAATTTAAAAAAATAAGTTTTTATCATGATTAATCACAACCGTTTATTGAAAGATTGAATGGTCAAGATCGGTTAATAAAGTTAACATAAAAACTTTGGTTAACATTTGAACCTGACCCTATATATATATATATATATATATATATATATATATATATATAGGGTTGGGTTCACGTGAGACCAAGGGTTTTTCGTGAGACCCGTGAGACCAATTTATGTTCGTTGATCAAATTTATAAGTTAATGATCTAATGGTCTAAAGTTGTACGGTGGCAATTTTGTAATTATTGAGAAGTTTCGTGTGAATTGTTTAGATTATAGATTGAATCCAAGGGTTGAGAATTAGTCTTACGGGTCTCACAAAAAACCATTGGTCTCACATGATCCCAAGTCTATATATATATTGAGGCACGTTCAAATGAAAACCGTGCAATTCTTAGAAACCGTGTAAACTAATTTCGACCAATGGAAAAATTCTATTTTTTCTAATTAAATTTAATCATTAAGGGTATATTGGTCATTTGCATTGTTTTCAATCAAATATGGAAGTTATTAATAAATCTTAATTAAGGTAACATAATAAAAGAAATTTTATAAATGGTAACATTTAAATATTTAATTAAATTATAAAATTAAAAATTGGATTTTCTTATATTGTCTCGGTTTATTACTGCCAAGATTCATAAAAATCGTAAGTTATTAGATTAATAAATCCATGAAATCAGTAATAGAATAAAAAAAAATTCATGAAACCGGTTTCATACATGGTGAAATTGGTGCATGGAATAAGTGAAAATGATTATGAAATTGGTGCATGATGAAATGGGTGCATGATGAAATGGGTGCAGCATGAAATGAGTGCATCATGAAATGGATGCGTGAAAGAAGTGAAACCATTTCAAAAAAAAGATAAAAAAAGCCTGTGTAATTAGCGAAAAGTAAAGCAATTTCATTATCAATAGCGTGAAATGACAAATGACTCATCAAACCATGCTGGCCAATGAAATGAGTGATTGAAGAAAGTGAAACCATTTCATGGTTTCTAAAAAAAAATTTGTAATTAGTGAACAATGAAACAATTTCATTATCAAAATGAAACGGATCCATCTACCAATAACATGAAAATGAAAATCTGATCAGGATTACATTGATTAGTGTATTGATGAAACTGTGAAACCATTTCGTACATGTAATGTAATACAAATTTTTTTTCATAATTTCTATTCAAAAGGATTCATTATGTATAATTGATTATCGTATGTTTTATTTATATTTTGACTCTATTTAAATCATATAACATGATATGGTTGTCATTAATAAAACTACTACCAAAGTTACCATTTTACCTTTATAATGATTATAAAATAAATTTGTATTTATTTATTTATTTTAATTTCTTAATATAACCTAAACTAATCTTGACCATTGATCAAAAAAATAGATGGATATGATTGGTTTACATAGTTTACACAAATGAAGACGGTTTTCATTTGATCGCTCATATATATATATATTGAAATTTTATTAGTTAACATATGATATTGTTTAGTTTTTTACCCTCTGGTTTGTATTAATTAATATATTATATTATTAATGATTTATTTTAAATATATTATGAAATGATAAAATTAATTATTTTTTTAAATGTCTTTTTAGATAATTTTGCATTTTTCAAGTAGCTTTCAACTAGATTTTGTTAAACATAATTAGTTCATCTGCTAGCATATCAACAATCAACTTGTTTATCAGTTAACAACTATTTTTATCAGTTAGTTCGCCAAGCATATTAAGGGAGGGTTTACCAAAAGTTTACTTGATAACTGCTTACTGGCAAGAGTCTACCACTCTCATTTATCTTATGTGATAACATTCCCGGCCATTAAAATAAATTGATGGCAAGCATTAATAATCTGGTAAGCATTTACCGGGTAAGAGCTATCACCCTCACTTACTGAGTAAGACTTTAGATCCTTACCTTTATTCTTACCGGGTAAAATTTTTGATCATTGCTATGTTCACCGGCTAAGGTAATTAAACTAATAAGCACTTACCAAGATAATTGTTTAATAAACAACCTCCAAAATGTACAAGCTAAATACATTGAAATCATATATTCATATTTTCATAATCATATTGATTGCATCGTTTTATGTCATGTTTAATAACATAAACAAAAGATAAAAATGATTAGAGTTGTATTATTTTGACCATTCTTAATGATTTCTGAACATCCAATTCGATCGCACTTTTATCAAAACCATGAATCAAACTACATTTCCGTGGTTGCAAATTTATGCGTAGAACCAAACAACAAAAGTCTCTGAAAAAGCAAATTATATTTGAATAGAATTAGAGTGTCGTACTCTAATTTTCAACAATTCTAACCGTCTTGTTCTACCAAGACAACGACATATTACAACACAAAACTCACCTCCAGGATGGTAAAACAATTGATTCAGAGATGGTATACTTGCACAAATACTTTACCCGTTATCTTTCTCCAAAATCAAGTTTTGTTCCTCATGATTCCATAAACCCTAATTGAAGCTCAGGATCTCCATACATACCAAATGGGCTCTTTTATTGGCTCAAAAAGATCAAATTGACCCCAGATTATTGCACAACGTGGAGAATTAAATACCAAAGTAGCATAATCCACGTGGTGTTGACTGCTGATCCATTTCTGACTGCAGATATTAACCAGAAAGATCCGAAAATTGGGGATAAAATGGTATCAATTAGAACAATACTGATCGTTTGGTTTGAGGGATCCGGATTTCATGGAAGAATTTGGATCCTTTAGTGTGTTTGGTTTGTAGGATTTGAAATGAAATTTTGAATTCGATTCTTCATAAATAATTTTAAAAAAAAAATTATAAATAAGTATAAAGTTAATCAAGTTGCCTTTTTATTAATTGATTATTACAATACAAATGTTTTTTAACATATATTTAAAACATTATTATATGCAAATCCTTCGAAATCACATGAAATACCAACTACTCACGTCTTATATTTGTGGGATGTCAATGAAATCCCGGGATTTCAAATTACATAAATCCTTCAAACAAAATGGAATTTGGTATGAAATTCCATTCCAAATCCAATCCAAACATGCAAACCAAAAGGGACCTAAGTAGGTAAAGGGGAAATAGAAACATGGTGATTACTTAGCATTTTGAAAGCTTGGCGGAAACATACTCCGCAATTGCCATACTTGACGTTAGACCAGGAGATTCGATCCCGAAGAGGTTTACAAGGCCGGGTATCTCATGAGACTCCTCTCCCTAGAATACAAAATAAAAGCAAAGAAGGTAAGAGCATCCATAATGGAAGGTTCCTATACCAAAAAGTGTAGTTCTTACAAGTCAGTGCCAGTAGGAGAGTTCTTATAACTCCCCAATATGTTGAGTTCTTGTACAAGAACCTTGGTTTTTACATTTTGTGTTAACTATTACTTATATTAGTTTCTAATGTATTTTTGGAGTAAATTACGTTTTTCATCTATGTGGTTTGTTAGAATTTGCGGATTTGGTCCCCATGGTTTTGAAATTACGATTTCGTCCCTATGGTTTGCAATTCATTGCCATTTTCATCCCGGAGGCAGCTCCTACCTTTAAGTAGGAAGGACTAAAATAGCAATGAGTTGTGAAACACGCGTACGAAAAAAACATCAATAAAGTTTAAATCACAAAGACGAAAACAACAATAAATTATAAACTGTAGAGATGAAAATCATAATTTCATAATTCCGGGGACGAAAATAGCAATTTTCAGCAAACCACTGCGAAGAAAAACGTAATTTACTCTATTTTTTGACTTTATCCACATTGAAGAAATACCCAGAGATCCACAAAAAGGAGGTTCCTGTAAGTGACTACCATAGTGGAGTTTTAAGGATGCCCTTAATTTGTTGAGTCGGCAATGATATGGCAAATAGAAGTGCAAAATGGAGGTCGCTTTTTGATAAACCGTAAACTAGCTTTTGAAAAACTATTTCAGATAGCTTATTGGGCCTTCTTTCACTTTTTTCCAATCATGCCCCTTGTATTTTCTATTAGGTCCTTTTACATGGACATCTAGCTTATCGATTAGTTTTTTCGAAGCATTACTAGTTTATCAACTAAGTTATAAACTAATGGCCGGTTTATTAGCCAAGAGCTAGTTTTTCAGCTAACAGCCAATAGCTAATTAATAAGCCAACAACTAGTTTATCGGCTAGTTTGTCAAACACGCCTGAATTTATAGAAATTGAACATATATCGTTGAAGGATGGCCTGAAATTAGGATGGTATATGCAAAAGCAATATAAAAGAACCTGAATGATAAAATCAACAAAGCCGTTTCCTGGACCAGATACTCTTGGTCGGATGCCAGCGTAACCAGGCTGCAGAGACCCATCCTTTAAAGAAGGGTAGTACTTCCTGATCTTCGGATAAAATTCCTTAGCACGATCAGCATGTACTGTGTAATCAAACCTGGAGTTCAATAAGCAAACAGAGTTGTCTGAGATCGGAAAAAAAAAAGTAAAAAGTTTATGCATAACAAGCATCCTTGATTGAAAATAGAAATATATTATGATGTGTTTATTAGGATTATCTGAATGTTTTCAGTCACAGCCGATTGGGCCACTAGACCCACTTTACTACATCGTCATATCGCTCTTGACAATAATGTCAAAACAACCATTTTTTTAACCGTGTGTGTCTAGACCAGCTTGATGAGGCCCTGAAGGTAACTGCAAGGAAAATCCCAAGTGGCCCTGAGAAGACTCAGACCGGTGACCTAATATGGGGCCATCAAAGCAATCAAAACCTTCCTTTTCAGTTCAGGCTGGTTCATCAGTTCAACTGCTTCTTGCCCGACTCCGATGAGATTCCATGTTTCTTTCAAATGTGGTTAATAAGCTAAATCTCAAGTCTCGTAAGAGTTCTGTAGCAAGATTTGAATTCTTGGTACCCTGTGGAATTCATAAAATGACCAAGGACTAGCTTTTATTTCATGAAGTCCACAGACGTCATTGCCAATCTGAATAAGGTGGCATTCTGAAAATTAAAGGGTTGTTCCATCATTTTCAGAAAATTGCAGGTTGTTGACTAACATTTACAGCAGGTTCATTTATCCAGCCAATGTTCAAGGGAAAATTGTCAACTGCTAGAAAAGGACTCGTTAATTTTCAATGTTCAAGATCTTTGTCACTAATGCAAAACATCTTTGATAAGTTGATTAAAATCATAGGGGAGGCTGCTAAATTCTGTGTCCAAGATCCACCTTATGGGTGACTGCTACATACATCTTATGATTGAAATAAAAATGTGTAAGAAATATAATATCAAATAACACAAGCAAATCAGATAAAAATGCATGCTTTTGTTTTGAAAGCCGGGTGTCTTTCATGGAAACAACCTCTCTACCCGCCATGGTATGCATACATCCTACCCCCTATATCCCACCTATGTGTGGGGGGATATACTAGTAGGTTTAGAAGCATTCCATTAATGATTAAACTAGATCCAATGAACTTTTCAAGATGAGGCAAAAATGGCCATATGAGCTTTACTCCAAGAGCGTGGTCACTGTTAGAATCATTTCCCATGCCTTCTCAGGTCAATTGATAACCAAACCAAACCAAACTAAACAAGCCCATTAAATCACACACAGAAGTACTGTGAGATGAGTCAAGATCCTAATCTTGCTATTACAATTATAAGATCAGCTCCTTTTCGCAATATTCCCACACAGATCTTGCCTCCACCAAGGCTTTTTCTTCGGACCAATTAGAACACTTAAATAACAACACTACAGTCAGCAGCCAGAAAAGCAAGAAATAAGGGTTCAAATAGTAATTAGTCGCAGAAAAACAAAGAAATTCCCAATATTTTATATAGTTTTTGGAAGGAAAAAAAGGTTTCAAGGAGAGCATAAAAATAACTTACTTGTTCTGAATGCTTGAGATATCATCTATATCATTAAGCCATTCAATATCAGGGCCAAATTTGACTTGACCATCCAGATCCAAAGTAACATGCACCCCAAGAGTACCATCCTCAGGTATAGGATAAATTAAATGCCTAAATGGAGGAACTGTAGTATTTGATAACGAAAAGTAGCAACCGCGGGAATAGTAAGATTGAGGAATTACTCCACGGTTTAGGCCGCTGAAACATCTAGCAAGGGCTGCCGAACTCAAGCCTGCAGCGTTCACTACAAGCTTAGGGAGAAGTACAACATCAGGGTACCGTTGAGACTTACAATCCCAGTTTCTTAGAGACTCGGTTTCAGAAATATGAAGATGAATTTGCTGTCCTTCAAGATGAGCACCAACCACAGTATTGTTGTAACAGAAGGTTGTTCCCTGACTTTCAGCTTCACCCTAAACTCACATTGGGTAACATCTCTGTCAATATGTATCAGCTCTGAACATGAAAATTATAGAGCATCAATAAAAGATCTCACTGTAAATGTTGAAATCAGACTGAAAGATGTAGACCACGGATATTTGAGCTAGCTGTCTTTTTCTATATTTGAAACTCGGTTGCTTTTTAGTTTTGCATATGTATAAATAAGCAAAGAACATTAAGGGGTGTTGGGTTCGTAGAATGGAATTTGGTGGAATTGGAATCCATCAAAGGAATTTGACTTTGAAGTAATTGGAATGAAATTTGACCATGCATTTGGTTGGTAGGAATTGGAATGGAATCTCTCAAAAAGAATTGGAATCTCCATGTTTGTCCGGCAAAATGTAGCTTCAGAATTTGAATGAAATAAAAATAAATGACCAAAATACCCATTTATTACATTTTCATAGAGCTCGATTCACTAAAATACTTTATAAGATAGTGGGTGGCAGTTGTGACGGCGAATAGTAGGGGCCTGGTGGTGGGTGAGTGGGGGTGCAGTGTGGGGTGGCGGGGCATGACAGTAGTAGTGTGGTTGTGGTTGGGGTAGGGTGGGGTGGATGGGTGGCACTGTGACCGAAAACGGTACTTGCATGGTGGGGGGGGGGGGRGGTGGTGTTGGTTAAATTGGATGCAAAAGTTATTTTTGTCTTTTTAAAACCAAATCATAAAATATGTTACATCTGCCAATCACTTATGCCAAGGAACGATGAAATCATTGATATGTGAAATTTAACCAATTCCTTTCATTTCAAAGAGTGAAGCAAACAAAGGAATTCGAATTTGGTCAAAGAATTTGACCGTTTCAATTTGGTACACCTCCGTTAAGGTTCACCTCCGTTAAGGTTCACGTACAAAAGAAGAAACAAATGAGTTGGGTTTTTCTTATATTCTAATAAGTGCTGTTTAGAATGAGGCCCCAGAGGCTGTTTTGGGTTTTTACTTTTTCAATAATGTGCGGGAATCTCTTTTGTTTGGTGGGGGTGCGCTTTCTGTTGGGCATTATGTTTTTCATGTCAATTGTGATTTGAGCTTTGCTCTCGGAGAGACCTTGGCCTCTCGAATGCCATTGGAGTGATTTTGCTTTCATTCTTTTAATTCAATTCCATCCGTTTGTATTCGTGTACACCAATTGGTATCAGAGCAGCAACGTTTCTGAGATGGCGACCCGTAGTGTGGCGACAAGGATGGAGGATCTGACAGCAGCGTCAGATCAATAGAAAAAGTGATGTGGACGATTATCGAGCAGATGGAGAAAATTCTGAAGCAACAGGACGAGGTAACAAGTTGAATTCAATTCCATTTTCCGAGGGTGAGGATTCGTCGGGATCGAATGGGAGAAAGAAGGAGAAGGAAGGATATGATCATAATCGTTTTTTATCCGTGAAAGGAAGAAAACTCGAGATACCTGCGTTCGATGGGACTGATCCAGACGGATGGATTCTCAAAGCCGAACGATACTTTTCGTTGAATCATTTGAATCAGGAACAACAAATAGATGTGTCGTTTATTGCCTTCGAAGGAGATGCCCCAAGATGGTTCCAGTGGGAAGACAAGCGACACCCGATCACTAGGTGGGAAGATTTGAAGTGTATGGTGCTGCGTCAATTCCGATCGCTGGCGGCTGCATCATTATGTGAGCAATTTCTGGCGATTAAACACGAGGGAACCATCGACGAGTATCGTCGAAAATCTAGGGAGCTCGTTGCTCCACTAGATGGAATACCGGAGGAGGTTTTCTTAAGCAGTTCATTAATGGCTTAGAAAACGTTATCAAAGTGGAGGTTCACTTGATGAATCCAATATCATTAAGTGATGCGATGGAGATGGCATCGAAAATTGAGGTTAAGAATAAATTGTTGAGCAGGGATCAAATTCCAATCTCTAATAGGAAGAGCTTGAGTGTGGGATCGGAGGCTCGTAACACGTGTACTCAATCGGTAGCGTCGTCGAACTCGTTAGCAAGATCAGGATCCGAGTTTAGAAGATTGTCTGACTAGGAAGTCCAACAGAAACGAGCACGGGGCCTCTGTTATCGTTGCGATGAGAAGTATTCGCCAGGGCACAGATTTAATAAGAAGGAGATGAGTGTCATTCTCGTATGTCATTCTCGTACAGGAAGACACAAATGAAGAGGGAGGGTCTAAAACTGAAGAGAAATCTCTGAATACGATCGATGTTGTCGACTTAGATTCCGTAATAGGATTAACAAATCCTAAAACGATGAAAATGGAAGGGATGTTGATGAGTAAAAAGTGATAGTCCTCATCGACAGTGGGGCCACGCACAATTTTATTTCAAAGGATGTGGTTCATAAACTGAATTTGGAAATAGAGAAGACGAGAGAGTATACGATCACGATGGGAATCGGGAAAACGGTACAAAGGGAAGGCGTTTGCAGGCACGTGACACTCATGATACAAGGACCGGACGTTGTAGAAGATTTCTTACCCACACAATTGGGAAATAGTGATGTGATATTGGGGATGCAATGGTTAGAGTCACTTGGTGCCATTTACAAAAAATGGAAGAATCAGATCATGAAATTCACAATCGGTGGTAAATCGGTGTCGTTGAAAGTAGATCTGGCTTTGGGCAGATCTAAAGCGTCACATAAGACCATAGGAAAAGTGATCTAGGAAGGAGGACATGGTGTTTTGGTGGAGTTAGGATCGTGTGAAGCTGGAGATGAGGAGGGAAAAGAAGAAGATTCGGTGCTAGAGCCGTTATTGAAGGAGTTTGATCAAGTCTTCAACATGCCTCAAGGTCTACCTCCAATTCGTGGAAGAGAACATGGGATTGACAAGGAGGGAACAGAACCGGTCAATGTACGCCCATATAGATATCCCCACTACCAAAAGGATGAGATCGAGAAGTTGGTAAAAGAAATGTTGGATGCGGGGGTTATTTGGCCTAGCTTGAGTCCTTTTTCGAGCCCAGTTCTGCTGGTGAAAAAAAAAGACGAAAGCTGGAGGTTTTGTATAGATTACAGAGCATTAAATAAAGCCACGGTGGTCGATAAGTTCCCAACTCCCGTCATAGATGAGCTGTTGGACGAGCTCCATGATGCCCGGGTAATCTCGAAACTGGATTTGAAATCCAATTACCGCCAAATTAGAATGGAAGAAGGGGACATTCAGAAGAAGGCGTTTCGTACTCATCAAGGGCATTACGAATTTCTCGTAATGCCTTTCGGGTTGGTCAACGCACCAGCCACATTTCAAGGCCCGATGAACAAGGTGTTCAACGACGTATTGCGGAAATTCGTTTTGGTGTTTTTTGACGACATCTTGGTTTATAGCAAATTCATTGATGAACATATAGAACACCTTAGAGTGGTTCTAGACATTTTATCTCAACATACCTTTATGCTAACAGAAAGAAGTGTGAGTTCGGTCGGGATAAGCTAAGTTACGGGGATTTTTGGGCCCGTCCGGTTATTACCGGAAGTTTGTAAGAGGGTATGGAATGGTGGCAGCTCCCGCTCCTCTCACGAATTTGCTCAAAAAGAACCACTTTCAGTGAACAGATGCAGCCAGTGTGCTTTTGCATAATTGAAGAAGTTATTGGCGACAACCCCGGTTCTAAAATTTCCCAACTTCTCGTCAAATTTCGTTATTGAGACGGATGCCTCGAGTTTTGGATTGGAGGCTGTGTTGATGCAGAATGAGCAGTCGATCGCTTATTTCAGCCAAGCTTTGGGACCTTGAAAAGGAATTGATGTCGATTGTTTTCGCCGTTCGAAAGTGGAGGCCGTACTTGCTCGTTAGACACTTTACCGTTCGTAGTGATCAGCGAAGTCTTCGATTCTTGTTGGAACAATGAGTAGTCGAACCGGAGTATCAGAAATGGGTTAGTAAACTGTTGGGTTACGATTTTTCAATAGTGTATAAACCGAGTAGTGCTAGTCGAGTAGTTGATGCTCTATCTCGAAAGAAAGAGGTGGTCGAGTGTTCAAGCTTGGGTGGCCCTCAATGGAGACAATGGGATAGCCTGAAACAATAGACTGACAAGGATGATCTTTTAAAAAAAACCAAATCTGATCTGTTAATTGATGCAATAGCCCAAAAAGAATTCAAACTTAGACAAGATTTATTGCTATACAAAGGGCAACTGGTTCTACCGAGAAAATCAAAGCTGATCCCACTGTTGTTTGAGGAATGCCATAACTCACCGATAGGCTGTCACGGTGGAGAGGATCACACTTATCAGCGTATCGCAGCTGAAGTTTTCTGGGTGGGAATAAGGAAAGACATCGTGGACTCGGTAAAGAAATGCGAGGTCTGTCAAAGGAACATGAACCTCAGTGGGTCGCCAACAGGTTTGTTATACAACCCTTGGCTCTTCCTACTACGGTATGGGAAGAGATATCGATGGATTTCATTGAAGGGTACCACGGTCTAATGGAATGAATACGATTCTGGTAGTGGTCAATCGTTTAAGTATATATGCCCATTTCATTGGTCTCAAACATCCTTTCGACGCTCAATCGGTAGCCGACATTTTTTGTTAAGGAGATCATTCGGCTACATGGTATCCCGCAATCCATAGTTTCTGATCGAGATAAGGTAATTCTCAGTGGGTTCTAGAGAGAGCTCTTTAAGTTGCAAGGTTCTAAGCTGAATTACAGAACTGCTTACATCCACAGTCCAATGGTCAGACCGAAGTGGTCAACAAATGCTTGGAACAATACTTACGCTGTTGGGTTTCGGACAGACCAAAACAGTGGAGTCAGTGGTTACCATGGGCCGAATTGTCCTATAATACGTCCTATCATACGTCCCTAAAATGTTCCCCGTTTAAAGTGCTTTATGGAAGGGACCCTCCTCCGTTATTACGATATAATCAGCAGCTTCGAACTTACAAACAGTGGAACAAGAACTGTGACCAGGGATGAGATTTGGGATGAAGTTAGAATGCAACTCTTAAAAGCCTAATGTAGAATGAAACAACAAAAAGATTTACGACGCAAAGAAATTGAGTTTGTTGCGGGAGATTGGGTTTTTCTAAAATTGCGCCCTTAACGTCAGAAGTCGTTGATTAAGGGGAATAACCCAAAGCTTTTAGCAAGATTTTAGGGCCCTTACTGAATCTCATAAAAGATAGGCCAGGTGGGCTACAGATTAGTACTACCGTATGGAGTAAAAATCCACCCAGTTTTTCACGTATCGTAATTGAGGCAAGCTTTGGGAGGTTGCGTGTCTGCTAAAGACATTCCCTCGCAAATTTCGGATGACATGGTGTTACAAGCAGAGCCGGAGGACTTGATGGATGTACGTCTAGTGCCAAATGGGGATGCAGGGCAGTTGGAAGTTTTAGTAAAATGGAAGGGTTTATAAGATTTTGAATCCTCTTGGGAACTATTGACCCCTGTTGCAGCGGTTTCCTGATAAGCACCTTGAGGACAAGGTGCTTTCTTTGGGGGAAGTATTGGTACACCTCCGTTAAGGTTCATGTATAGAAGAAGAAACAAATGAGTTGGGTTTTTCTTATATTCTAGTAAGTGTTGTTTAGAATAAGGCCCAGGGGCTGTTTTGGGTTTTTACTTTTCCAATAATGTGCGGGAATCGCTTTTGTTGGGTGGGGGTGCGCTTTCTGTTGGGCATTCTGTTTTTCATGTCAATTGTGATTTGAGCTTTGAGCTTTGCTCCGGGAGAGACCATGGCCTCTCGAATGCCATTGGAGTGATTTTGCTTTCATTTTTTTAATTCAATTCCATCAGTTCGTATTAGTGTACACCAAATAAATTTTTGAAATCCCATGGATTCCATGAACCAAACAACACCTTAAGAGTCATACCGTCTGTGAGAGCATCAAGGAATGCGAGTCGATTATTCCTGAAGTTGGTGACCATAAAGCTCTCACGCATTGCAATTCAGGCTCTAATGCCATCGCTTCAGAACCCTCCATCATTCTCAATCCTTCAACTCCATTTTCATTCCCAAGATTCATTAGATAATTCAACTTTGGAACCTCCTCATGCCTAGAAGCAACAATGAGCTTCCCAATTTGCTTATGAGGAATCGCATGTTTCTTACAGTACTCATATAGTAACCTTCTTCCTCTAACACAAAAATAAGCCTGCAAAATGTTTTGAAGTCATTATCGAAACATTTCAGAATCATGATCTTGCATATGTTGTTCATGTGCAAGATATCATTATGGATATCAATAGGTTATGGAAGATGGAGGTCACATTTGGTTTGTAAGATTGGACAGGATTTGGAATTAAAAACCATTCCAAATCTATGTTTGGTTTGAAAGAATTATTGGATTTGACATCCTGGGATTTCATTGAAATCCCACAAACATGGGATGATTTAGAAATCCTATGGGGGTGGTTGGTATTTCATGGGATTTCATACAATTTGTTTGCAATAATGTTTTAAAATATGTTAAAAACACCCTTTTTGTAATAATCAATTACGTAGAACCAAATGGACCGAGAGAGTACTATGACATGCCTCCCCTACAACATCAAATATCTTTGCCTTGTAGGCCGACAAAAAGTAAATGTCACCTTTTATAAATAAGATGTACTCTATTATATGATGCTTTTATTCATAGTGAACAAGTCTAGTGTGTCTTCCAAAGTCAATTATGGAGTGCAAATTGTTTCTCACATAATTTTCTTAACTAACCTCCGGTTGAATTTGTGCACATGCTTTGGTTGCCAAGGCTTTTTCCTAGAGACAAAAGCTCCACATACGATTCGTTTTTTTCACTTAACTCATGAAATATATAGGATTCTACAATGAATGAACTCATGTGTGTTAGAAGCTCCATATATGACTCTTTTTCTGATGTTCAGGGGTTTGCAGGGTTCAAAAGGCATGTCATGGCACGATATGGCATAAGACGCGTCTCCGTGTAAGGCCTATAGCGTTTCTATAAGGCGTGGCTCACGCCATGGCGCCTTAAGGCGCGCCGTAGTGTCCGTCTTTTACAAGGAGTGACTTTTTTCAAAAAAAATATTTTTTAGTTCTTTTAATTATTTTATAGCTTTTGTTTTCACACGTTTAACTTTGATTTTACACTATTATAGATTCATCTAACCATGTCACTCACAATTTCATGAATTCATACATGTCATGGACTCACGATTAAAACAAAGTTGTAAAATTACCCTTCTAAGTTCTATTTTGAATATTTAGTCTAAGATTATTTTTATAATAGTAACCTATATGATTTTTCTTCTTCTAAATTCTAATATGAATATAAATTTTCTAATATCATTATATGATTGGATAATATATAGTAAACATACAAGTATTTACATAATTCTATATATGACATACAAATTTGTTGCCTTATGTCACGCCTTGAAAAACGTTGCGTCCTCGTCGTGGTGTGTAATATTTGAGGCATGATCCCGCAACCATGTCGTACCTTACGCCATTTAGAACCTTGGGTTTTTCTATTGCTTTGTTATACCCTGGGTCAAATAGTCACTAATAGTAGGCTAAGTGGAAGGGTCAAGATTGGGGGTGTAGTAGAAAGGTACAAGTAGTGACTGCAATAAAATTACACAATGAAAAGCACAAGGTTTAAGAAATGGGTGATTATTATACTTTTTAATTAACTAAATAACAATTCTACCCTTAATGATAGAGGCAAACCTTCTCTCTTCCTCTCCCTCTCATCAGCTCTTGAATATTCATGTGTCATAATTATATGTAGAGTTGGAAATTTAGTACTCCCTCCGTCCCAAAATAAATGTCCACAATGAAAATGGCACATAGTATTAGGAATGCGTAATTATTGCACTTCTTAAATAACTAAATGACATTTTTACCCTTGATAATAGAGAGGGAAACTTTCTCATTCTCATATTGAGGGTAAAAGGGGATGGAAAGTGGACACTTATTTTGGGGACAAACTAAAATAGTAATGTGGACACTTAATTTGGGATGGAGGGAATATTACAAACATCTATTTTAGAAAGTGACACATATTTTTGGACAAACTTACATAGAACTGTAGATACTTATTTTGGGACAAACTTAAATAGAAATGTGGACACTTATTTTTGGGAGGGGGGAGTATCATTCAAGAACCAGGGTTGATGAATACATAAGCCCAAATCCACAAGATAAGAATTCAAGATTGGTGATAAGTGACAAAGTAGAACACAAAGCTATTATTGAGAACAAGATTGAAAAGCTAAATGCAAAAGATGATGTGACCTTATTATGATATTCCTGATTCAAATTGCCAAGCTATTATTGAGAACGAGATTGAAAAGCTAAATGAGGAGAGACTATAATTAAAGTTCAATGGAGATCAAAGGCGATAATGCAAAAGGAAAAGACTAGTGTTGATTTTATTTCTAAGGATTAATAATGTTCCATATTTACCTAAGCGTAAGTCAAAACAAGATAAGTGCTTTTTGTCTCTACTATATCCAGGGAAACAACTTTAAGGGGAGTTTGGGTCACATAATAGAATTTTGTGGAATTGGAATCTATCAAAGAAATTTGACTTGAAAGAAATTGTAATGAAATTTGACCACGCGATTTGTTGGCATTAATTGGAATGGGAACTCTCAAAAGAATTGGGAGAGGGTGTGTGGGTGGTGGGTGATGGCTGTGACAAGAAGACAACAGTAGTGGCGACAACAGTAGTGACGACAACAGTAGTGGCGACAACAGTAGTGGCGACAACGGTGTTTTGTGGGGGGTGGCAACTGTGGCACTGACAATAGTGCTATGGTGGTGGCAGCTAAGCAATTAACACGGTCAATTGTAGAAATTGCGGTCCGGACCGTGATTTGAAATTGTTGTTACTGCGATGGTATAGCGGTACTACAGCGGTAAAATTAATTTGGTTCATAAAATAAATATGAACATATATATATATATATATATAACTTAATATATTGTGTGCCTAATACATATTATGTAAAACAATTCAAACCACACAAGCAACATAGTAATAGAGTTTATAAAGCTCATAAACGACAAAACGAACTAATTGCAATCCACATGCTAAAACATGTGGTAATTATTGCCTTTTAAAACTAAAACTAATAAAGATGCCTAACATGGAAAGAAAAATATATGAATGGGTCAAACAACACATAGCTATTCAAATTTTATAAACTGAACATTTGCTATACAATTATGTTTATAAACTGAGAAAACAAAGCAATAAATAGGAGTATGGGAGAATGGGAGTATGGGACAATGGATGAACACAAAACAATAATGTTGCTGGTAGAGTCTGGAGAGAGGAGGGAAGTTCGATTGAGGGGTAGAATCGTAGGTTGAAGTAGTCTGGAGACAAGCGATCCTAGTGGCATTGCTTGTATACAAAATTGGTCTGAATTTGGGTCAAATAGAAGTCTCATTGGGTCAAATAAAAGTAACATGGGTCTCAAACAAAAAAGCCCACTCAAAATAGCCCAAAGACAACAGAAAAAAAAAAAGACAAGGGACAAAATAGCGCCATTATCGACTGATATTTCAGATCAAATAGCGGTATTTAGCTTCACAATTTGCGGTACCGCTATTAAGCCGCTATTTGCAGACTTCTATTTCCCAAATGACCGTTAACCGCTATAGTGTGCAATTAACTGCCCAGAGTGGCGGCGATGGTTTGTGGGGGTGGATAGGTGGAGGCTGCCACGACGATGGTGGTGGCGGCAATGATGGTTGTTGGTGGTGGTGGGAGGGGAATGGTGTTGGTTAAAAATTGGATGTAGACGTTATTTTTGTTTTTTAAAACCAAATTATGAAAACCGTTGCATAAGTCAAGGAATACTCAATTCCTTGACTTATGCGAGGGAATTTAACAATTCCATTCATTTCAAGAAGTGAACCCTGACAAAGGAATTGATCATTCCAATTCCCTTGAAATCCCATTGATTCCATTAACCAAACAGAACCAAAGATACAACGTCAAGTATACACGACTACGAGAAGATTGTCGCAAAGCTCATGTCTAACTCTGCAACACTTAAGCCCAAGGTTGAATCATTTTGAATGGAGAGAATAATAAGGATCATAACATTAGAAAAAGATAGAAGTATATGGGAATATATACTAGGATAACGGTTGATATTTTTTCGACAATTACCAGGATAACTTTTAGATGGTGTTTGGTTGATGGATATGGGTTCTAAAAATGGGAATGAACCCCTAGAATTTGGTACATCCTTCGAACCTGCCAAAGGGATCAGGTTTAGAAAATTCATTCACATGTCATTCCCATCCTCTTAGATCTCGTTTGGTTAGCATATTTGATAGGATTTGGAGAAATTTGAAATTGAATTCCATTCCAATCCTATGTTTGGTTTGAAGGGATGCTTAGATTTGAAATTCCACAAACATAGGATTTAGAGATCTCGGGGGTGGTTGGTATTTTGCGAGATTTCATAGGATTTGTTTTTAATAATGTTTTAAACTATATTAACATATTTTTGTAATAGTCAATTAATAAAAATGTAATTTAATTATTTTTATAAGTATTTATAAAGAAGGGAATTTAATTTCATCCAAAATCCTACAAACCAAACACACCAAAGATTCTAAATTCTTCCAATTCCAAATCATGACATGAAATCCAAATTCCTTCAGAAACATTCCGTCAAACCAAATGGGCCCTTACTATATTTGTCCTTTCATTCTCGCCTAAGAATCTAACAACAGTGTTTTTTTTCTCAATTCATGGCTTCTCTTCATGTCCTTTCATTACCTTCATTTATTTTTATCGTCTTAGAACAAGCATTGTTAGGATAAATTATAAGTCCTAAAAAGACGTCAACATGGCTATTAGATGATTGGATAAAACTAATAGAAAAGTAATCCTTGTTAGGTGAGACATCTTTGGTTCGGTATTCATGAGATCCTAGTGCTTCTTTCGATGTCAAGCCTTAGAGACCTTGGTTCGTTAATTGTTCTTCCATATTCTTCTTAAAATTTGGGGAACAAAAACTAAACCATGAGTCCATAATTGTCCAAAAAGGCACAAAACTTTGGAAGTTAACTTTGCATATGACCCTAATACTTGGTGGATTTAGACATTTCTAAAAGCATGATCTTTAGATAGGACTTGGTGGAGGCACAGGAAGGTAGAGATATCGTGTGAGGACTTGGGCCTTATTGTGGTCGAGGGAGGGGGTTGAGTGGTAGAGGCTTGATCGAGGGTGGGAGTGGGATCCGTCCTGCACGGGAGGAGTTGGGTTAAAGAGATCAAGTAGCTACGTATGAGAGTCCTAGGTTGGTAGCAAGGAATCTTTGGGGTAGCCTGAAGTAGCTTTTGTGCAAGTTTATCCAAGTTGGGGTCTCTCCATTATTTTACGAATGCGGCCGATTGGTTGTATCGTACATTCAAACTACTTTGTATGTTTTTTGTCCTGACTTGTTTAATCTCTTTCCATTGCTTCGCGACCTCGTTTCTTGTTTTTGGCTTTCGTTGGATCGCTTAAGATTCCAAAAAAATTTGCAAAAATTATTTCGCAAAAAAAAAGTTTTTTCAACTCGGGGATCTTCACGGAAACTGCCTCTCTACCCTTTTGGGAAAAGGAAAGGCTTGCGTACATTTTATCCTCCCCAGACCCTACTCCGTGTAGGATTTACTTGGTTCGATTGGTTTGGTTTTCATCATGGAAGTAGTATCATATCATCTTGCACATAGATACTTGATAGCAATAGATACATCATATATTCCCTATGTTGAAACAAAATTTGCAAGAATTACTTACCGTATTCCAAGATACTTGCAACGTTATTTCTTGTCAAATTTCGAGTTAAATTACCTATTATCCTCATTTAGTTTGTGCAACTAGGATGATGGTAATAGGTGATTTAACTTGGGATATTGACAAGAAATAACATTGCAAGCATAGTTGCTAGTATTAGTTTCTATCCACAAGTATCTCCCTATTGTCTTTGTCAATGGTATTTAAAATATCTTTTACAATCGAACTCCTGGATAGAGTTACTGGGGCCAAGAGGAGGCCGAACCGGCAATAGCAAAAACCATATCAAATTGCATCTAATTTGATAGTTTAGTTTTTAAACATAAAGGTTCAATTCCATTTCAGAAACAAAAAAACCTAAATTGGTTTTGTTGGGTTAGAATTGTGATTTGAGGGTTATTCAGTGGCCAACTTTTTCGTGCGTAAACTATATGTTCTAGTCATGTTCATCATCAAAAGGATTCCACATTTTGAAGCCATTAGTCTAATTCTAGGGGCGGATTTAGAGCATAAGGGTTGGGGTACTTGCCCCAGCAAATAAATGATGTGCTAACTTGATAACATAATTATACCTAAATTTTCTATTATGCCCCCAACAATAAAAGCCAGTTCCCCCAATTATCTATTATGCCCCCAACAAATAAAAGCCAGTTCCCCCAATTATCCAACCCGATCTTAATAAAAGCTAATTGATTTTGTTGTAAATGGTATAGTGGTAATGTTGATTCAACTCGGTTCAAATGGGTTATTTGCTTTATAAATTAACCACAAAAGTTTGTAATGAATATGAATCAGAAAAAACCATTTGCAATCCTAAAACCTACTGAAATGAGGGTTGTAATCTTATGGCATAGTAAGAGCAAGTGATTGAAGAAACCTTGAGAGATTTGGCAGGGTAATAGATACCGCCATGAATGACTTGGCTATTGCGAGAACTGGTACCCGTTCCAAAAGACGAAGCAGATTCGATCACCAAAACATTTCTTCCAAAATTCAAAGACAATTCCCTGGCTACAGCGATTCCCACTACCCCCGCCCCTATCACCACACAATCCGCCATTTCCTTCGGAACTCCTGCTGAACTGAAGTTCTTCCACACTATAATCGATGGTGTTTCTGCCAAATTCCTGATTGAATCTCTCACCAACTTCTTCAATTTCATCATCGGCTTTCAATTAACTAGAAACCCGATATTTACTTCAATGGGTTTCAGTTGGGATTAGGTAAAATGGTGTTGCCAACAGCCGTATCCCTCCAACAAATTTTAAATGGGTTTTGGAATTAAAGAAGGCATGGCAAGTCCACAGAAACAAGCGAGACTTTTCTTGAAAACATATTTGCCGGAAAATAGGTTTTGGCACTTTTTGTTGACATACACAACTAATTCATACAAAGTTCGAAAACTAATAAAGCCTCCTCAACCTATCTGGACTAGGTCTTTGTCGAGATGAGAATACTGTTACTTTTCCACTTCTTTTCACAGAGTTCCAGAGCCAAGAGGGCATTGTAGTATTCCACCCTTCAACAAAACCAGAATGCCTCTGCCTATTTAAAAAAAAAAAAAGCAAGGGGTGTTTGGGAGTATTTATTTGAAACAACTTATGTTTTTTTATAAAAATATTTATCAATTTATTATAAGTCAGAAATGTTTAATTTCTTCAAAAACTTCTCATTACCGGTTTGGCACCGGTATAAGTTGTTTATCCAAACACTCAAAAGTGTTTATGGCACCGAAATAAGTAAATAAGTTGTTTTTATAAGCAATCACAAACATCCCCAAAGTATCATGACCTCTCTCATGTATGAGCTACCGAACTGCCTTCCTTGCTTGCCTGGAATGAGAGGACAGACTGCGAGATGGACAGCAGGTTCGGGTGCGTTTGGTACGCAGACATGACAGGACAGGACAGGACAGGACAGGACAGGTGTTCAACGTTTGGTAAGACATGACAGGATAGGACAGAACAGGACCGAACTGGTTAAAATGACCAATTTACCCCCAGTGACATTTCAAGTACATAACTACATATCAGACGAAACAATAGGCAAAATCGAGTGTGTTGAGAAACAGTAGGCAAAATCGATTTATCAATCCAAACAGTAGGCAAAATCGATTTATCAATCGAAACAGTAGGCAAAATCGATTACCAGCTATGAAGATCGATGGAGATGGAGGAGACGGTGGATGCTGTGAAGAAATCGATGCTATGAAGAAGACGACGAAACAGTAGGCAAAATCCAAACACCCGGTTCATGATTCAACTAAAAATACAAAATCAATAAAAAAAATCATTTCGAATTTCATCAAATAGAACAAACCCCAGTTCGTGAAATCCAAATAGAACACATAGAAAATCGAGAGAAATTGACCGTACCTTTGTTCTTGGATGCTGTGAAGAAATCGATGGAGATGGAGGTCTCCAGTGAAGAAATCGATGGAGATGGAGATGGAGATCGATGGAGATGGAGATCGATGGAGATGGAGGTGGACTGTGAAGAAATCGATAGAGATGGAGATCGATCGAGATGAAGGTCTCATGTGAAGAGATCGATGGAGATGAAGGTCTCCTGTGAAGAAATCGATGGAGATGGAGATCGATGGAGATGGAGGTGGACTGTGAAATCGATGGAGATGGAGATCGATGGAGATGGAGGTGGACTGTGAAGAAATCGATGGAGAAGAAGACGACGAAGATGGAGATGGAGATCGATGGGTATATTTGTCAAATATGTCTTGTTCCACTTAGTTCCAGGGGGTGAGGGTGAACAGACTTGTCCCATACGTGTTCCACTTAGTTCCATTTAGTTCCACTTAGAAACACACCAAACATGGGACAAGTGTGTCCTGTCCTGTCCCACCCTGTTCCACGTACCAAACGCACCCGAAAGGAATTGGTTACTAAACCCTAGTAGAGTATATCTATATCTATTCTACCTTATAAACCAGGTTTTATAAAAGTTTTAAAAACAATCTTAAATGCATAAGATGCTGCCTTTTGATGCACAAAGTCTTAAAAGTGTTGAAAACAAATCGTAATGCACAGAATACTACAAACTTATGCATAAAGTCTTAAAATTGTTGAATATATACTCCCCGGCTCCCAAAGACGTGGATTCCTTCTCCTAAGGCAACCATTCATGTTCTTGAAACCATCACAGCTTATCAAGGTTAGTTCACCATTCGTTCTATCAATCTCTACTTCACTATCAATCTCTTGTTCATATTACCGTAAATTTGTGGCAAATTACGCACAAATTGCACAACTCTTAACAGACCAGCTATGCAAGGATAGTTTTGGATGGTCTCAACAGGCTACTCAAGGCTTCAAATGCTTAAAGTAAGCCATGGTGACCTTCCCAGTGTTAGCCATGCTAGATTTTTTGGTTCCTTTTTGCGACCGATGCTTTGAGTTACAGAGTAGGGGTTGTTTTGATGCAAAACAGCAAGTCGATTGCATTATTTATCAGGATCTTGGGAGCTCGAGCATGGCTTAAATTGGTCTATGAAATGGAATTGACGGCAATCTGTTTACCTGTCAAAATATTGAAACACCATCTTCTGGGAAGGTGTTTCACCATTTACACGAACCAACAAAGCCTAAAGTATATCATGCAACAATAGGAGAACGAGGAAGAATACGAACGTTGAGTGAGCAAATTGATGGGTTGTAATTTCGAATACACTGCAAGCAAGGAGTTACTAACCACGTGACAGATGCCTTGTTACGAAAAGTAACTGATAAGTCCAGAAATCATACAAACATGATGCAATCTTCAAGAATCATGATGAACATAAAAGTAGAAAGAATATTATCAAAGGATGATTTGATTGAGAGAGAGAATTACACAGCACTAATCTCTTGATAATTCTGCTAATGACAATTGTAATGACAATTACAAGGAAAATACTATTTATACTAGGAAATAGTAAAGGCTACACTATTACAAACAATTACACTAAGGAGAAACTTGAATACAACTTTAAAGCTCTAACTTGAACCCAACATTCTCCCCCTTTGGATTCAAGTTTGGACTCTTGTGAATTTTGTTTTGCGCAGTCCAAGAATCTTCTCCAGCCTTCTCAGAGCATTCCTACATTGGATCTTTTCCTCGAGCAAGTTTATCGCATTGATTAGCAAATATCTTTCTTTAGAACTCATCCGTTTAGATTCAGCAGCTTTATCGTTCATCACCTTCTTCAAGTCAAGTGCCCTTCTCACTAATTTGATCGTACCGTCAGAATATTTATTCAACTCGCTAAACCTCATGAACTTCTTTACTTGTAGTTGTGCAAAATAGACGACCCCGAACTCTGGGCTTTCAAGAACCATATGCACTGGATAGCCTTCAATGTGTTCTAGGTCTTGATTCGGTCTTTTAAGATTGATGATTTGCTGATTGTCTTCAAGCCCCATCTGTACATCAATGACCATTGCCAGTTTCACATGACATCGTATAAACCTCTTGATTGCTTCAAGARCAACCAATTCTCCTTCTTTTCTGATCGTCATGTTTTTGAGTTCAAAATACATATATTCAAGGTCATCTAAGTATAAGTTCGAGAAGTCTACTTCGTTGAATCTCCAAATCTGACCATCCTGCCTTGTTACAGTGAAAACAGGATACCA